CGATGCTGATGGCGATGCCTATGCCGTGCACATATATCAACGCGAAAATATTGTATAATATCGAGAGCGGAGCGAAATAATCAGTCGCCTTCGCCATCGCCATTCCCATTCCCATTCCCAGTTCCCAGTCAGCGTGTTGAACTGATCGACAGAGATAGGCAGGCCCATATAGACAGCCATATGCATTGGCTATGCCGACTGCGGCTGTAGCTGGGGCAACAGGCAACGGGGCAACGGGGCAACGGGCGACTCGGCAATGTGGCAATTAAATTGAAATAAAATTGAATTAAAAGCATTTTGCGGAAAAGCCACTAGAAGCAGCAGAGAGCAGACAAAAGGGGGCGCCGAGTCGATTGCCTTACTGAATTGATTGAATGCAAGCAGAAATAATGCATCAAACTATTTATTAAGTGGCAGCCCAAAGTGGCAGCCAGACAGAGGGACGCCGCGGCTAATGGGCGCTGCGAAGCCTTTGTCAAATCCAGATCTGTGTCGTAATATGACTTGGGATATTCTTGGAAAGTTCTTCATGAAATGAAAGCTCCCTCACTCTCTCTCTCTCTCTCCCACTCTCTCGGCAGTGTTTATGTTTTGCATTGTTCGTGTCTTGTCGGTCTGGATTTGACACTTGTGCTGGCAATTAACGGCCTGGATTTGTTTAACAAACAGCCAACAAGACAACAAATAAGCACACACAAAACTGGCACATACACACACACACACACTCACTCACACACACATACGTTTAGCAACTAAATCAACTTCAGTGGAAAACAAGAAAAACTTTTTACACTCGCTGCAAATTCGCACGATTTCCTTTCAGTTTTCCACGATTGCCGCCGATCAGTAGTGGCAGCCGCAATTAGCATGGCCATATATCACGCAGCCATACATTTTAAGGTGGGTTCGTGGATGTCGTGGAGAGGGGCAGCGAGTGGGGGCGGAGACGAGTGTGTGGGTGCCTGCAGCAGAAGCTGGGGTAGATGGAGCCAACAGCTATTGATGCCAGAGGCAGCCGTGTTTTGTTGACAAGCTCTATACATGTGTCAATTAAATGTTGTATATCATAGCACCACGACTCACACACACACACACACACACATACAGAGTGTTGCTGACATGAGCATGTATGCATAAACACTTATGGACTGTTGCTTTGACGTCACATTCATAGTTGTTTGCCACACTTGTTGTTGCTGTTGTTGTTGTTGTTGTTGTTGTTGTTGTATCGTCATCCACATAGAATTTGACATTTGACACTGAAACAGTCGGCAGTCGACGGCATCTCTGAGTGTCACTTAGCTATGCGGGCCCCCAACAACAACAGTTTCGAAATACGTACGCATTCAGAGCGACAAATATATGGAGTCAGATATCGACATGACTCTAATTAGCATTGATTTCCACTTTGCCCTCAGGCCATTTAAATGAGACCAGCCACAGCAATGAGCGCAAAGAAAGTGCCTTACAGACACACTCACACACTTGCAGCTAACATACATACATATGTATATACGCATACGTATATATGTCATATGACAGATAAACGATCGCAATCAAAGACGAGATAAGATACCGACATCTTGAGACTGCAGATGCACAATGATTCTCAGGTTGCGACCGTTCCATCAGAAGGGAATGAGAAGTTATCTCCAAATGCCAAAGAATGATTAAGAGTGACGTTTCGTTGGCTTATTTAGTTAGCTGCCGACTAACAACTGCGACAATATTGAATAAACTCATTTGTTGCATTCGTGCTTATGTATGCAAACTGAGTCAATTAGAATGAGTTTTAAGCATAAGATATCACGTAAATGACCTTAAGCATATCAAGGTTAAACTGTCTGAATTAGAATGTGCCTAGCTCTGAGCATTGCAGAACGCATATACAATAAATAGATAAATCAATATTAGGCATATATCAGTTGATAAAATTCAAAGTAATTTGAGATGATATCATTATAAATATATCTATATCTATCTATCCTAAACTATATTCTATTCCATATAATAAATATATGTATATTCCACTTTCTTTAAATAATCAATGGAATCGAATGAAATTCAATTGAATTGAACTTTGCCCATATAAAATTAAAATCTTATACGAATCTTATTTGAATCAGATAAATCTCGATATACAAGCTGATGATGTACTGGGAACTGTTAAGAATGAAAACCAAAACTTGAATATATGTACATTGGTTAGCATTCCAGCCTTATAAATTGTTAAGACATTCCCACTATGTCCTCTAGGGCTTCATATCTTTCTTTTC